TGCAACTGAACGTACGTGCGTTTCGATTATGTCTGCGATATGAAGCACTTTTAGCGAAATTATTTACACGGCCAGACTTATTCCGCCGGCATAGAGGCCGATCGATATTTAATCACATCCGCCGGTCAGGAATGCACAAAGCCGACGATGCTCGGTGCTTGTAAGCTCGAATTCGAGACATCTAGAATCCTCTAGCGTTCCATTCGAACGCTCCGTGCCTTCCTCAGTCGTCGTCCTCGCGTTCGATAACGCGAGAAATGACTTTCACAGATCAGAGAAATTGCTATCTCTCGCTCTTTCGATGGGGGAAAAAATATACAAAAAGAAGGAGCTCGTTGTGTCTTCCGTTTTCCTTGTATTTCGAAATGGCGAGGGGATCACGCGTAAAATGACCCCTCCCCCTCCCCAATTGTCAGATTTCGAAACGAAAGGAGAGATAAGAGCTTTGTAAGCTTTGTAAGCTCTGTCGGTGGACCTCCCTCGGGGAAGTGCAGTTCAATTCAACGCCGGAAACCTCGCAAAAATCTCTTCCCGAAATAACGATCGTGGAATTAGAACGTTTCAGCCGACGGGCGACGTAACAATTTTCATTAATTTGGCTCGAGGTCGTTTTGGGGGAACGAGTAAACACAATTCGGTCGGATATCGCCGACGCTCGCTCGGTTTCTTCGAAGAGGAAGTTATTGAGTCTTAATTAAAGTATGAAGTCTCTGGAAATATCTCCGCCGGCTGAATTATTCAGGAAGAAGCTGGCTTAATAGGCAAATAAAATCCCCTCTCGGATATTAGAATTTTATTACGTATATTTATAATTTTATTATCGCGGGTTAAATTTTTTATTCCGTGTATTTATGTAGTCTCAGAGTTCATTTTCATTGATTATCCGTACGGAACGAATTGCCAAGTTTTTTCAAGTCTCGGAATTCTGTTTCCAGTTGTAAAATTTTAAATCAATCTAGACTGTTTCAAATCGATCGCAGAAATTTATATTATTTGCTTCGTTATCATTCGCGGAAATTTCCAATGGTTTCCTATTGATTTATAGTTTCAATTTCATCGGCGTTCAGTTTCTTTTAGTTATTTACAAGAAACGAATTATCAGTTTTCCAATTATAGAATAATTCTTGAACGTATCTGCCAAACGTTTGAAAATTTTCGCGAGCAACTGCAAACGAGTTAAATACTACAATATTTGATATGATATTTTAGACGAAAATCTCCATGAAAACCGATCGCAATTTCATCAATGTTCATCCGCAAGAAAAACAAATTCTCACCTTTTATCATGAAATCCGAAAGGTCTTTCCCAACGATTAGAATAATTCTTGATCACATCTGCCAGTTGTTTGATCATGTTCGTGAGCCAAATCTGTAGATGATACTAGACCATTTGACATGATACTTTAGATGAATCTCACGTTCACGGAGTTTGTACCGTTGTTCCATTCACTCGCGAAAGTTTCCAATGGATTCAGCTTCATCGAGATGTAAACCGAGCAGAAGCAAGCTTTCTGTAACTCTGTGCAACAGGAACAAACGACGAAGCGTTGTCGTGTTCGACGTAGAAATAATCAGATATGCGGCGACGCAATTTCCGTAGATGGACGGAAGATCGGGCAGTCATTTCCGGCGTAAATCTGCCGTGCCCGATGGACACTTGGCGAGAACCACGCGTCACATCCGTTCGGTAACATCTGCACTAAATTAGGACTACGAAACTCCTGTTTTATCCAGCGAACGGCAGGCGGGTGGGTAACAATGTTCACCTCGCCACGACACAGCGGATAGGAAGGCTTCGTGTATACCGGAAACTCTAACCAACGTGAAACGATGTACCACAGACTGTGGTAACGTAGCTACTACGTGCAGTGTAACATTCAGCGTGTATATTATACACCGTTCGTGTGCGTGACGAGGGTAGTTAAGTGTGAACTGGAACGAATTCTCCTCGAAATTTGAATGTATGATTTAAGTAGGCTTGTGATAGTGGTGTGTTAACTCGGCACTACGGCTGCCACTTTTGATCGTGGTTAGACGAGGCGAACGAATTGCTGGAATGCCTAACGATAGAGGCGTGAATTTTGGACGAACCAAGGGAAACGAACTTTTATCACGAATTTCGATTTCTAAAAGTACCAGCGGTTGATTCTAAAAAAAAAAAAAAAA